CTCTAGCAGCCATGCCCTGAAATGTGGATTGTATATATCTAGAACAGTGGGATGAAAATAGACGGGTTTTCGGGGAGGCGTATTGCTAGATCACCTTCCAGTCACAGTCAGTCATTTCTTTTCCTCACCCGGATACAAAAAACTTTTTCTGGCTTAACACGTTCTACTCTTTTCAGATGGAAGACCGGAGAAGATGCCGAAGGGTGAGAGCCATTGAATCCATTTCTCAGGAAGAAACCAAATAAATCACTGGCTTTGTTTTCAGAACGGAGGAGTCCATACACCAGGGTTCAGCTGAAGCTATTACAGGCAGCTCCACTGGTTCAACCTCTAAAAACAAGTCACATACTTCAGTGAGGACCTGTTTATTTCACGAAAATTCATCTTCAAGGGCTTGTTGACTGACTTTGAACTTTCTAGTCTTCTGAAACGAAATCTCAAACGGCTGATCGTGTAACTGCAATAAGGGTTAGTGGGCTACATTTTCAGCAGTGACCGTGCCATCTCATAATACAAACAGAAATGGTGGAATGTTCCATTTCAGCAGAAGAGTGAGAAAGAAAGGACACTAGCGGATATTCCTATCCTCCTAAAGCGGATAGCCGAGCTCGAAAGCGCTCAGAGTAAATCTCTAATGGTCCAAAAACGGTTGAGAATGAGAATTCGCGATAAGCAGCGGGTAGGGCTGAAATATTCGATAGATCCTCTTCAAGTCTCTGGATTCTGAGAACTTTTTTTTGTTCAGACAATCAAAGAGCTCACCGAGGCATTGAACGCTCCACAGCCTGCAGTGAAAGCGATAGATGAAGAGGAAAAAGTCGTACGTTTCCCTTGGCTTCTTGTTAGCACATTCCAGTCGGTCGCATGGGCTTGCCATCCTGCCGTCCTCCTTTACTCCTTTCGAAAGCAGTGTAGAGGAGGAGCACGCCAGTGCGGAAGACACAATACAGAGCGCTTCGTATTTATGAACACCCCCCCCCCCTTCCTCTTCGGAATTTCGTGAACCAGCTGGCTGACGATTTGTTTAATATGACTGGATGATTCGTCATTGAAAAGCATTTCCGCTCAAATTGTGCCTGTAGAAGTTTGGCTTTGACCCTAACTTGTTTGACAAATATTTTTCATTCTTTTTGCACCGATTCATGGCTTTGACGTCACAAAGATTAACTGAACTTTTTGAGGAAAGAAAACAGCTACGAAAACCTCTACGAATACTACCTCCGTATCATGAACACATTTCCACACTGCACAGCCGTCAGGTCTCAGGCTCACTTGCTTGCCTTCTTTTCTGAGGACAGTATCAGCCTCCAATCAGCCCTTGTTGGTGAACTCAGTCAGAGGGCCTTGACATGACAAATCGGAAGATTCCTTTGCTCAAGTCAGGAATTTTTGAATAACGTCAATGCTTTCAGACATTCTACAAGCGTTGAGTCTTCGCGTAAGACTTCTGTCGATAGTTATAGGAGAATCCTTGGAACTGCTTCAGACCTATTCCTCGAGCGGTATTGTCAAGAACTTGAATGCTTCTTTGCCTGAAGTTACGACCTGGAGGATAGCAAGAACAAGCGGAGGCATCAACCGATATGAGATCTTCTAAGTTACTGGGTCTCACTTTGCTACACAACTACGTGACTCCAATTCGCAATGCTATTAGAAAGACATTGGATGAAAGTAGGCCTGCATCACAATCAATTGCAATTAGCTGGTGCCATGCAGGTCGTCTTTGTCGACGAGGGAACTTCAACCTTCTCAGCTTTGATACATCGTTTCAAGTAAAGGCAACGCTCAGTGAGAGAGTGGAAGCATTTTACATTCTCTATGAGTTCTCCAGCATGTGGCTATGTCTTCCTGCATAAGCTGATTCAACAAGCTTCCAAGTCCGGTGCTATGCTTATCTGCGACGTTAAAATGAGATCTTGGAATCACTTGAGCCAACTCTGAACATTCCTATAAGGTGCAGTTTTTTAGCCACAAACTCACAGAAGCACTTTAAGCGCATGCTCATTCTTTTAAATACGGAAGGTACGGTGTCAAAATGCACACCAATCACTTTCACACCCCACTTTAAGCACTTGGATACGAGTAGAAAACAAACCATTGAAGAGAACTAACCATAAGCACAACATCTTATGGGAGTGAACATCCTCTACGAGTTGATACAGAACTGGCAAAACTTCCCATTTCTAGCGCAATGTCAACTCTGCTCAGAAGAAAACGCTATCTTACTTATTAGGTTGTCCGGAAAAAAGTCATATATCAAGTGCTATGAGAAAGAGAAATGTTTGTAGATCAATACTATTATTATTCTCCATTGTTGGTATGATTAGACATCACCTGGGAAAATGTACGAGCGCGCACGACTCCCAACGCCTTTTACTTCATCTTCTCTGTCCTCCTCTGTCGATCAAATCGGGAATGAGGAACCGTATCCGATGCTGGATAAAACGCTTCAAAATTATCTATACTAGGAGATCAATCGGTCTCTTACATGGAAGTTCAGCTTAGATGTTGCGTACGCCCCCTCATTCTCAGTACTCGCTAGTTCTAGCTCCCACGCAAGGTAATCCCGCCCAAAAGGTAAGTTACGTAGGATGGACCTTCGTTAGCCCCCTTTCCACTCTTCAATATCGACAACACCCCTGGGTTTTGTGCTCATTGATCAAAAGAAAATTATGTTTCAGTCGAAAGCCGATGAGAAGATTGCTAAGAGAGCTCTGGAAGGTATACGTAAGGAGCAGTTGCTAGAGAAGGCAGTCACTTTCAGAGAGATGAAGTTGGTGTGCAAGTTCTTCAATGCTCCGGAGGCCAAACCCGATCAACGGGTGAGAAAGCTCTCATCAGAGGGAAGTGTCTCTAATAATATTGATGGTTTAGGTTGTCAGGATAATCGACAAAGCGCTTGGTTTTGCTATCGACGACTTACTGCAGCGCCCTCAGCCCACTGGTGGTCTTGTAGACAACGAAATGCGACTTTTTCTGCTGGAGAAGACTAAGGTGCTTTATGCCAAAAAAATGACATGACAGAGGAGGCAACATTTGAGCCGTCATTCTGACTTCAGCTCATAGTCAGATCCTCATATTAGGCTCGAAAGAAAATCCCGCAACAAATTCAGTGTTCAAGTTGTTTTTACTGAACGAGGCCATCAGATGACTGAGCAACCGTCTCTATTATGTGTCGTAACTCCTTTCCTCTATAGCTGCGGTTATCAAATTATGTCGATTACCGAATTTTCTAGCTGTCTAGATGGCGCTCGAGATTCTTACACAGGTAACAGTCAGAACGTGCTAGAAAGGTAATGAGAATAGGCAGGGTGCGGCCATACTATCCAGCCGAGATCTAATATTTCTTTGCATCATTATTTGCCTGGGGCATGCCGTACCATGGAACAGGAGGGAAGTAAACCTCTTTGATCGAATTTATCACATGACCTTAGCAATCTTTTGAATTGAAGGTTCAGACCGGATTTTCGTCACACTGCTGTGCCAGTATCAAAAACATCTTTGAAAAACATCAGTGAAGCCATTTTCCCCTTGTTGACCAAGGAAGTCTGCAGGGAAATGTGGTTCAACTGCTAAACTGGGTGCAGAGGACCGATCTCTTGGCGACCCCTTGCAAGGCTTACGTGCTTGGTTATATCAAACATCGTGTGACCATTACCAAACACACTAACTACCACAGTGTTCTTGAAATACATACGATGAACGGAAACTTAGCCAGGTATTGCCTTCGCCTTATGAGACTGGCGCAACTCGTGGTGTCTGGTGCGCAAGTGTTCAATATTGACAGAGATGATGGTTTAGGTGTTTTCGGCTGTCCAATAAGAGCAGTCACTAGCTCTCGGGTGACTGTGTTCGACTTCGCCCTGAAATAGATGTCATCACTCCTTTGCGGTGGCAGACCAGTACACTGTTTATAGCCAGTTTTGTTATACTTGTTGTACCGTACAAAAGATCTCCAGCTTCCAGTTTTCGAGCGCTGATCAGTGGAATACTGTGGTGGTGTGAAAGAAATCCTTCCCTTTACGTATATTGCGGAGATGGTTGCCTTTTCAAGTTTGGCTACGTATATACGCAGATACATTTCCATGAGAAGACTGTTAGAAATGTAAACAGTACTTAGAAGACTTTCAAGCTCTTGAAGCTTGTGCGAAAACACCCGTCTACGGAAGAAGTGTTGCAGAGCTGTCTTTGTACGTAATACTTCGCTACTTGGAAGATGCGACCGACCACGTTTCACAGTGTGTCTTTTCGCAACCACATACCCGAAATTGTTCATTCAACATAATGCAACGTACCTTTGGGACGGGGGGAACCTATGCAGGATCGCGTCAATTTCGAGTTAGCACCAGAGCGACTTGCAAATTTTTAGAAAAGGTGGCTCATGCCACCTAGCATTTAACTTTCCACGAATAATAAATCATTTTTGAATTCAATTTTCCTCAAATACTGGAGGCTAGTTTGATGGTAAGGTCTCTGTTGACTGTCACCCTTGAATTTACATCGCCTTAGTGACACGTGATAGGCTGCTATCGCGCGACTCTATCGCTCGGGTCGCGAAGTATGAACGCGAACGTATTTTGACTCTCGCTGATGCATTTCATGGAAACAGCCGCACTGACTATATCACTGTTGGAATGACGCTCTAGATTCTTTGCAGCCGATCATTAGCAAACGATTTGCAGGCAAAACGCATTCTACTCACGGTTATGCTGCAGAATCCCGAATTTATTCCCGAATGCTGGGGAGGTGAGACGGCTCGTCGCACACAGAAAACTCCTGTAGTGAAAAGCGTCGAGAAGACAGAAGGTGAAAGTGAGAAGTCGATTCTGAAAACAACTAGGCAGGTACTCGGTTACATCTTCGACACAGAGGCGAGAACCTCAGAGCGTTCCGTCGAACTGGATGCATCGTCCGTGAAAGCGGACAAAGAGGTGAGTTTGTAGCCTAAACTCCATCTTTCGATTTTGGAAGAAGTGTCCACGGGCGTCATCGCTGAAGGATAGTGTTCGCATTGGGCTAATGCGTGAGTTGCGAGTGTAGTAAAGAACAATGAAGACATCAGAAAGCGACCTAATCCCTCTCCTTCGTCCCTTCGTCCCCTCTGCCTGGACCCTCAGCAGCTAAAAAAACCTGTGCATTCCACATTGTAATAATGAGGAGGGTGCGGCTTCGTGCTTCATTCAAAGCGTCTTCTGCGATTTTGGTCGGATTTTAGATGATGCTGAGTGGCCTCTCGGGGAGATCCACGCACCAGGATGACAGCTCTCTCATATAGAAATAGACCGAAAAGCTTATCCTACGTCATACATTCTTCAGTCTCATTCTCGTTCAATTAAAGAACGCAGGCAGGTGATCTGAGATACGAAGTGCATGCGTCCGTCGACACTCCCACACACTACCTAAAAGATTTATTTGACTCAAAATTCCGATTGTAGAAAAAGCCAGAGTCGGAGCAAACGGAGAAGGCCGATTCACGGCGTAAAAAGAGTAAAACAGAGAAGAAATAGCCTTGATCACCAATTGAGAACAAAGGAAATCGTAAAGTTATAACAATTTCAACAAAAAATGCCTTGCTCATTTATCACTTTTTAAATAAACGGCTTTCTTTTTGCGACGATAACAGACAAAATGATAACAACCGATTGATAGATCAGTGATGTGCTACGCTCGATATCTTGGCATTGAGAGGTGTCCGCGTGTGACGCTTAACTGCCACAGCATCTTGTCGAGCGAGGATCGGTCGTGGCGCGGTTTTGTCATTGTGGGGCGTAATTCTGCGGATAGTGATGAGTATGAGTATAAATTTATTACGTCCGCAATAATTATAATAGGCATACGTGAGATAATCACAGCATCACTTCGCAAATAAGTTACAATATGAACATCTATGAGTATAAAAGATCGAAACTGATCCTAATAACAGTAACTGACCATCAAAAATCCACTCTGATCAATCTCAAGAAAGCCAGAAAAAAAACCAGAGCCAGCCCCTTGTCTACCAAGTGTAATCGCTATGTCCGTGCGTGTGTGTGAGTGTGCGTGTGGTCTGTCTGTTTGACATGAAATTTGTAGGGCCGCCGGTCCCTTTGGCAGTGATCCATTGGTTCCAAGAAGTGTTGTAGGGGGTGTGACGGGACACTATTGGTGGGTGATAGGAAGTGATATCAATTGATAAGATCCGATAAGAGGCTACAGAATAAGGAGGTCACCATATTCATAACGCGGGTGACAGCATCATGCGTTAGCTCTTGATTCTGAAGATATGAATATAGGTATGGGTCAAAAACATAGTGGGTCGCATAAATTGTAAGCCGCTGATAAGATTCGATAAAGAGCGTTAGAATGAAAAGGTTGCCATATTCATCTAGCTAGCTCTTAATCTCAAGATATGATGTAGGGTATGAGCCAAGAACATTATTGGTGGGTGACAAGAACTGTAAGCTGCTGACAAGATTCGATGAGGCGCTAGAAAGAGCTATCGTATTTACAGCGTAGGTCACACCATCAGCGAGGCGTACGTTTCAGCAGTTGAGGGTGCGATGAGGACATTAACCGTGGGTGACTGGCAGCGACAAATAGTGATAGGGTTGATGAGCGATGTTGCAGTCGTCGTCACTGTTCGAGGTGGTTCACGCTACCAACCAAATTATAGAGATTTAGTGATGAGGACATTGATGACGGGTGACAGGTAATCTTATCAATCGATAAAAATGGATAAGATACCATCTGCGCTGCAAATTCATCACTTTTACCGCTCTAATGCCGAGTATTAGAGACGCAGTGTGTGAACCCTTTCCTTTGATGGCAACAGAATCAAGGGCGTCCACTAAAGTATTTGCTTTTAGATGCATGCAATGGGGAGAGGGTACACAGTGCGGTCGAAACGTGAAAATCGAGAAATTCGTCAAGCAAATAAATTTTCGCAAATCTGCCTGCTATGTGATGTGTTAGGAGGTGGCGGTCGCAATTGAAGCAAAATAAGGAGGGAACCCAACAACTGGGAGTGGAGACGTCCTGTCGGTGGTAACATTCGAGCTCTCGTGAGACACACAATATGAAGTCCTGCTTTTCAGTGCCACCCATGACTCTGCAGCTTATGCCTCTTCCGGGTGTTAAGGACTCATCCGGACTAATTCAACTTTACCCATTCTGATGTCACAACTGCGCGCCTTGATGATATGGTGCAGCCTTCTCACGGTTGAAAGTCTGTAGTAAGCGAGAGGGGTCATATGTTGATAAACAATGGCTGATGCTGACAAATCCTTTTCCTACATTCAAATGAAAAAATACCTGCCACCATTTGGCATATTTAGCGCATTCTACCTCGCCCAAGGGAAGAGTGCCTGGCGAAACCAGGTCTCTAACGCAATGGGCAGCTGAAAGTGGAACCCCATCAACAATTACGAGGACAATGGAGTGTTGTGTCACATTCTATGAAATTATATTTCCCCCTTGCACAAGAGAACGAGTGCAAGTGCAGTAAAACACTATGTTAATGCGAAAGGAAATGACGTTACGCTATGTCAGTCATTACAGACCCTAAACCCTTCTCTATAATTCATGTTAAAGAAAATAAGTAATTACCAGACAGAGAGAAAGACCATCTCACCGTTCATCTATAGGTTGCAGGAGCTGCAGTTTACGCCATCTGCAAATTTACATCTTGCTCTGAATTACTGAATTTCATATCCCTTACACTGTGAGTGGTTTGTAGCAGTCCAGAGCACGGCGCATCTCAGTGAAAGCATCTGATCTATTCTTTCAGCAGTCGGAAGCCTGGATGTTGCCATTTGCGCCAACTGGACTTAGCCTCTGGTGCCAAGTGCTAACTTCTCGTACATTGGATAGACAGCATCGAAGAAATATTCTTTAGAAGTGCTAATACAACGTATAGCAAGGCAACCCGGGAATTTGCGATGAGCTGTTTGCTTTTGCCATTGATCGCTGTTAAGCTCTCTGCCGTAAAATCCGAGGTCGAGTCTTCTGAAAAATCCTTTATAATAAGAGGATGCGTTGAGCCCAGGCTTTACACCGATCTGTACGTCCAAGCCGTCTTACGGGGTCTTCCAGTAGTTTGGTCTGGGAGGTTCCCTTCGACCACACGAAGAATATAATCAGTGAATCGCAAGAAAATAAACCGGAAAACGTAACCAATGAAGGTTTACTTCTTTTAGTTTTTTGGTACTTTTTGCCTCGTCCTGCTTCAAGACACGCCTACAATTTCTAGTAGAATGGGTATTTGGCTACTGACCGTATTCAGTGCATGTGGATCAGACGTCCCTTTCTCGTTTACATGCGAAGTTGTCGGAATATTTTGCGACTTGGCGGAGCAGAAGACGGATGTTGAATGGAAGGTAGAAGTAGTTGCGCTAAACAGTCGCGCTGAAAAAATTGACTTTGAAAACTTCCATAACTCTAATGTCTGTTTACCCTCCGATTCAAATGTGTACTATTGTGACTCGAGATAATGAATATGTGAAACGCCTGTATTTGGTAAATCTGGGCAATAACATGTTACCTGGCAAAAACAAACACCGGAACGCTCGAAGTGAGAGTTTTTCTGAAGTGCATGTCCGTTCAAAACACGGCAAATATGCTCGAAGTAATAGAAAAAAACGAAGCTTGATAGAAAAAAACGAACCATCTCATCTTAGTTTCGAAGCTGTTCAACTGAAAAGTCTGAACATAAGAACCAGTCCAGATAGATTGATCGGAAACACAACTGCATTCCAAGTTCACTCACCTCGCCAGAAATATTTCATTGGTCTGTAAGGGAATGCGACGTAAGCAGGAGCGCAGCAATTAGACGAATGGTAAGCTAGCCTCAATTACACTGTGCTAATTCGAACACAATTGTACTCTTGTCCTATGCTCATAAGTTCCTTTGTAGTGCGAACGTATTTGGAAGGGGGATACCAGGCGGCGGTCTGCTCTTCTGCCCCCTCCTCGCCGAGATAGTGTCCAGCGTGTTTGGTTGGTTACTTCACTATGAGCTCATAATTCGGGGTGTAGACCATAAATTTTTACACCATTATATGGTGGTATTCCAATAAGGTGAGGCACTGGGGCTGAAAATGTGAAATTGCCTGTGTTCAGGAGAGAAGTAACTTCGGGGGGAAGAGCGGACCCATTCCCTCGTGTGAAATATACTTTTGAATGCCTTTGATGATAAAAATGCAATCTATTTACTACGAATAAAGATGTGAAGTAATTAATATATCAAACTTTTTACGAAATATGAAGATTGTTGATGAAATATTAAGGAACATCATTAAGGTTATGAATATTATCGGACAGTATTAAAATTCCGAATATTATGAATAATATCCGGTTAATACCAGCTGGCTTTGCCGGCTGACACCGACGCGCCTCCTTCTGAGATACAGCACGGCTTCGTCGTTCCAAAAGCTCTTTTGAAATCGTGTTACGAGGGGTACAAGCAGAAGCACTCTTTCAGGCCACAATGGGTCTACACTTTCGAAAAAACTGATCGCAGGTTCCTTACAGGTAGTGCAGGCAGATGTTAGAAGCTTTGTCGTTATGCTCTGGACAAATGCAAAATAGATCGACTCACCGATCCTACGACGTCTCGCCTAAGAAACCCGCTCGCTACCCGTTGCGCTCTACTACCACGTTTCAGAACGACTCCATACATAAATGTAAAGACGCTTCCACGTTTCCTCGCGATAGCATGTGAAACAACCACGCGGGGATAAAACCCTCCATAACTCCGTTCAGAGAGTCGTTCCGCAAATTCTGAAGGTAGATTCGAGTTCACCGTCCCAAGACGCGTACAACGGTGTGCACCTCATTGGAAATGGCCAGGCTGACCTTTGACCTTTCCTGGTAAGACTAACATTATTGTGTTAAGCGGATTAGGGATTCTGTTCCTTTATTTCTGACAGGTTCATATTGGATTTAGTTAGGAAGTACCAAAAAATTCCTCAACACAGTTTGCTCACGAGTGCTACCTGTCCATAAGTTACTACTGTTTTTCTAGATAGCAATTGTTTCTCATACTGTGTGATCAGCAATTGAAATTCAGTCCTTTGGCTAGCGAAGGATTATACATTACAAACAAGTCAACGTGAAAGGTAAGTCGATATACATGTTTGAGACTTGATCTTATCCACATTTGTTCACCATTTCCCTACAGCTTGATGGCTGCTTTCTTACTTAGCACATATCATGATTCTAACATGTTGAAAAACATTCAACTAACTAACAAAGGGTGACTGAAGAGAGATAATCAAGGAACACTACTCTAAGACAAAGTGAGGTACAATCAACTGAATGGCCTCCTTCTCCAGTTTTTTGGGCCATCTTCAAACCTTATTTAGATCTTAAGTAAGGTCTGAAGATGGTCTAAAAATAAAATTCTGGGTAGGACCTCTTTTTGAGACCACGATAACATATTTCATAAAAATCGTTGTTTGCCTCATAAATATAGTACAATTGAGCAACCCTTTTAAATTACCTTTTCCTATGTCCCATTGCCCATTGCTAA